CGCTTAGTTTGTTTTTGTTTTTGTTCTTTAGGTTCAGTTGTTGATAGTGGTGTTTGTTTTTCATTTTATTTTTCATAGTTTTTGATCTTTTTCTTAAATAAGTCCCTTTAACATTTCATATAATAAGGGCTTGGTGATGATGAACTCCTTTAACTTGAGCTTACCTGGGAAGCAGTTTCTCTGCCCTTCCATTCTAAATGATAGATTTGCTGGGTAGAGTAATCTTAGATGTAAGTCTTTGTCTTTAATGACTTTGAATACTTTTTGCCAGCCCCTTCTTGCCTGCAACATTTCTATTGAGAAATCAGCTGATAGTCTTATGGGAACTCTTTGTAGGTAACTGTCTCATTTTCTCTTGCTGCTTTTAAGATTCTCTAATTATCTTTAATCTTGAGTAATGTAATTATGATGTCCCTTGGTGTGTGCTTCCTTGGGTCCCACTTCTTTGGGACTCTCTGAGCTTCCTGGATCTCCTGGAAGTGTATTTCCTTGGCCAGATTGCGGAGGTTCTCCTTCATTATTTTTTCAAATAAGTTTTCAATTTCTTGCTCTTCTTCTTCTCCTTCTGGCACCCCTGTGATTCCGATGTTGGATCATTTAAAATTGTCCCAGAGGTTCTTAAGCCTCTCCTCATTTTTTTGGAATTCTTGTTTCTTCATTCTGTTTTGGTTGAATGTTTATCTCTTCCTTCTGCTCCCCATTGTTGATCTGAGTCCCGGTTTTCTTCCATTTCCCTGTATATTTTTCTTTATTTCACTTTGCGTAGCTTTTGTTTTTTCCTACATTTTGCAACCATACTCAATCAATTCAGTGAGCATCCAGATTACCATTGTTTTTGAACTGTGCACCTGATAGGCTGGCTGGCTGTTCATCACTTAGTTCTATTTTTTGGAGCTTTGATTTGTTTTTCATTTGAGCCATATTTGTCTTATCGTGCCTGTTACATTGGGAGGGGCAGAGCATGAGGCATTTGCCAGGGTGGGCAACCCAGGTCTCTGTATTATGACGTTGTATGTAGGGGAAGGGTCCAAGAGGGAATAATGCCGTTTGCTCAGCTCTCAGGGGCTTTCAGTCACTTCCCCCTCTACCCACAAGACAGTTGGGCCCTTCTGGTGCTGACTGTCAGATGAGTGGGTTTGAGTGCATTCTAGGACCCCATGGGTCTCTCCAACAGACTCCTGTGAGACTGGGAGCCTCCCCTGCCACCACAACCCCTACAGGTTTTTACAGCTAGAGGTTTTGAGGCTTTCTTTTCCTGCACTGGAACCCTGGGTTGGGCAGTCTTTCTAATTCCCCAGCTGTTCCTCTGGTTTATCCTCACACAGATGTGGGACCACCTGGTCCTCCAGCCACCGCCTCTCCTGCCCGGTTCTCCCCCCACCGCATGTCCTCTCTGCCCCAGCTGCCCATCTCCGCCCCTCCGACCGGTCTGGATGATTGTTTCTTCTTTAGCTACTTAGTTGTTGGACTTCTATACAGTTCAATTTTCTGGCAGTTCTGCTTATTTTTTGTTTTTAAATTTGTTGCCCTTTTGGTTGTGCAAGAAGGCAAAGTATATCTACCTTAGTCTCCATCTTGGGTGGAAGACTGTAGGGATAGAAAAGTGGAAGGTATTTTAGACAGGATGACTGTGATAGGGCAATGTTTTTATCACTCATAGTTAGGATATATGTTACAAACTGTATTACTTTGAATATAAATAAACATTTGTATTTACTGTCTTCCCTGCACTAATTTAGGTATTCATTGAATGCCTACTCTGTGCCAAGCAGAAAGATATATGCCCTCCCTTTAGAACTTTACAGTCTCTTTGGAGAGATAATTTAATTGACAACTGTAATTAGATGTAGTATATTTAACCTAACTCTTCTATTGGTTCAAGTGCTTGATTTATTTCAATAAAAATACGCTGTTGTAGTCTATAATACTCATTATAGACTACATTATAGACTACAGTCGTATTATAGACTATATTATTATAGACTACAACAGTGTATTATAAACTTAAAGCTTGCCAAGACACTAGATCTTAATTGTTCCCATCACAAAATAGATTATATTATGTAATGTGATAGAGGTGTTACATAACCACCTTAAATGTATTTATATGTCAACTATATCTCAAAAAAAAGAAATTTTAAAAATGATGAGCATGGCCCTGGCTGGGCGGGGCAGAGCATCATCCCATACACCAAAGAGGCTGCAGATTCGATTGCTGGTCAGGGCATATGCCTGGGCTGCGGTTTGCTCCTTGGCTGGGGCGTATGGGAGCAACCAGTCCATGTTTCTTTCTATCTCTGCCTCTCTCTCTCTCCCCACCCCCTGTCTCTCCTCCTTCCTCCCTCTCTAAAATCAATGAACATACCTTCCTGTAAAGATTAATTTTTTAAAAAAGATGAGTGTGTATTTGTGTAATTATGTCTCCTATTACTTTAATGATCTGAGGTTACAAGGGGATGAAAATATCTTCCCCAGCAACAGTCAGTGATCTTTTATAGTAGCAGCAACCCATAATTTATCATTAGGTATCTATTTGTACAGGATTTGTCTTTTTTTAATTTGAATTAATTACCTCAGAGTAATTTTCTCAACTAAACTATTATGTTTTCACACTTTTGCATTAGGCTTATTAAGGGATACTAATAAAATTAATCTAGGCAAGACTTTTAAAATACAGCATTTAAGGGAACATTGTTTTTTTTAAATCCATTTGAAAATGGGACAGTAGTGTTTTAATAGTAATTTATATTTTGATCACTAGATGGCACTAGACACACATGTATAGCTAAGGAAAAGACGGTCTTTCTCAGCAGTTGTTTCTAAACACAGTTTAAGTATATAAATGCTTTCAGCATTATATACTATAAATTTTTATAGCCCATAAAGATCCTACTGCTACAAAATCTTTGTTTTTCTGGCCAAAATAAATTCACATAAAACTCTTTTAGGTATAATGAATTCTGAGACACAGTCTCTGCCATAACTTTGATAGTCATTAAACTATTCTATTCTTAATTACTTGTTTTATTTTTCTCTTTCTTAAATTAGCTCTACCTTAAAGAACTAATGCCGTCTTTTCCCTGAAAAATGATGTTTTTTATTTTTTTAAAGCTTTTGAGATTAAAAAGCTTTTAAAAAATTACATAGTATTTACATTACGTAGCTCCAGGGCTATGGAGAGATCCTAGAGATCTACACACAAGTGTCCCATAGGTCAGAGTATAAAGAAAGCACAAACTGTTTTTGTTCTTGGTCTCCTGATGTCTGGGTATTATTCCCATAGTGTAATACAGTCTGTTTGTTTGGGGTTTTATTTTTTTCAGTCTCGTTGTGATTGATTCTTGCAATGTATTATTTTCCGAAGAGAGATGGTCTAGGTTGCAAGTAATTGATATCCTTAATGTTTATGCTATTCTTAAAGTGAGTTATTTCACATGGCCAGAAAAATTCCAGAATTCGGGGGGCACTTCCAACCCTGGTGAAGTCAACGTCTTAGTTAGAGGCCCAGTGATGTCATTAGGGACCCAGGTTCCTTTCCGTTTTCCGCTAGGCCATCCCTGGTGTGTCAAACTTGTGCTCTGTGTTGAAGATAGCTGTAGCCGTTCAGCATAGAGCATATAGTCATAGCAAAGTCCAGAATAGAAGAAGGGACATGTTCTCCTATGTAGAGGTTTTCTTACCAGCGGTATACAGGGCACCAAAGACAGTGTTCTCTGAATCTCATTGGCCTTGCCTGGGTCTCCTACACTGTCCTAAATGACTTACTGGCAGGGGAAGGAATCACCAGGAGAGCTTAGACTATTAGATACCCATGCTCTTCCTGAGCACCCAGCCCCTCAGAGGAGAATAAAGCCTCAAAATCACAGTACTTTCCAAGAGATGGGCGGGATGGGGGGGCGGCAGTGGATTTGGACAGGGAGACAACAGTGTTTGCTGCCGTATCTGGTTTTGTTTCATTTTATTTTTGTTTTGTTTTGTTTTTGTTTATTTTTTCACTTAGAGACTCTTCTTTCCTGTCCTGATATTCTTGAAATGTAACTTTCATTTCTGTTATTTCAAGTGCATGACACCATACAGAGTTCCAGGGGTAGCCTATATGTATTGCAGTTTATCATTCAATACAAGCTCATTCACACCTTACTTTGTTTACGCATGTGTTCTTATCCTAGCAGTTTAAGAAAGTGAGAACTTGGGTTCTCTCTGTTTAGTAGTGCTCTCATACCCAGAGAACAGTATCTGTAAAATGCTTTGTGAATTTAGTAGCATTTCAACCATGTCTGCAATTGTTTGCTAAGTACTGACCACTCTGAGGATACCAAGGACGTGCATCTAACCTGGACTTTGGAGATATTGCCACTGTCTGCCTTGGAGCTAAGCCTGAACCCTTAGCCTCTCTAAACACCCAAAGGGGCAGAGTCAGCAGCCCCAGCTCAGTGATTCAGGTTCTTCAGCTTTCATTGTCAACTGCAGGGCCTCCTGGCCTTTTCTGGCTTGTTTTTCCATTTGACACCTCAGCACCTCTCAGCGGCTGTAACAGATTAGCTTTTCTAGTCTGAGTTCCATCTGAAACAACACTACTCTGACTCTGAGGAACCCAGCTCCCTTCTTGGCTGCTTCATGCCAAAGACATGTTTGTGGTGCATTATCAGCATATTTCTTCGTTTATTATCTGTATTCAGAAAATATATGTTGAATGATTACAATATTTATCAATCGATATTTCAAATATAATAAGGTTTTCTGACTTGAGATTGTTGATTATATTGTTTGTTATGTTTTAACAGTTTATCGGTTCTTATGAAGTAGCCAAAAGTATTCTCAACTGACATTTTCAGTCATCACTATGTTTTTAAGTAAAGAACAGAAGTATTCTTAAGAAGCAGTGCTGCTAGTTTTTTTAATCTATAGTTTTGAAAGAGATTGACTTGTATAAGAAAATGTTGAGTCAAAAAAATTAAAAAAGAAAAAAAAGAAAAATCTCTGATATTTTTATTTTTCAGAAAACTGTGGAATATATTTTCCAGAAATAAAAAGAGATCCAAGCAGGTATTTACACAGTTGTCCTGAATCTGTAAAAAAGTGGCTTCAACAGCTAAAGAATGCTGGAAAAATTCTTTTGTTAATCACCAGCTCTCATAGTGATTACTGTAGACTTCTCTGCAAACATATCATTGGGTAAGTGATGAGACATTCTGTTTTCGTGGTTTTATGAAAGACCAATGGCAAATCAGACCACTGCTTTTTAAAAATGCTTCATCATGACCTTATTAAACAATGCTGAGTGGCAAACGGTTGTTTCTTCTAACATCACTCAACATCTACAACATCCCCCAAGTACCTTTTAGCAAAGCGGTGTTACTGGGTTCAGTGTGCTCATAGCTTGCTGATGATCTGGGTTTAGATTTTCTGAAGGGTAGCTGGCACACATGCCCTTCATCCGTCTTCCATGCATTTGGTTTCTTAGCTTGGGATGGTTACTGAGGAACAGAGTCCTAGGCCATACTCCCTGGTGGATAACCAGAGTACGACCCGTCTGTAATCTTTTCAGCCTGGAGCCACATGTCCGTCATTTAGCACAGACAGGGACGGGACTGACATCCGTGAAAACTGAGGCGGTGCAAAAGCATAGACTTGAAAATGAGACAGATATGGTTCAAGCCCTGCCTTGCAACTTTGTGTGATATCGGGTGGGTTCTGTAACCTGCCTGAGCCTTGGTTTCATCACCTTAAAAATGCAACAATAATACTTCTGCTGAATATACTTCTGCTGAATACTTCAGACCTCTCTCTGGCTGACCTCTCTAGCCTCCAGTTCCATGTCCCTAAGCACATGTGGGTTTAGGTAGGTCTGTGGTATCCTCACAGTTTGTGAGTGGATGGTCTGCCTTCTGGATCATAGATGGGCTTGGGTCCCTTAAAGTGAGTTTGGGCTGGAGTCCTGGATGCCTTGGAAAGTGTCTCTGAGAGACCCCTCCCCTCCTGGTAGTGGAACCATGCTCCCGAACACTCTGGAGACTTCATCTCCTTTTCATTAGCACAGATGACCAAAATTTTTTTCTTCCTATTTAATTTCTGTCTAGTACAGTTTTGATTTGTAAACATATTTGGGAATGTTGGATAAATATTGTCTCTCCAATGCAATAATAGTAAGTCCCTCGGGAATCAGGACTAACCTTCCTTTGCCATCCCAAATAATCCTAGATATAGTATTAAATTAAATACAGATTGAAAACGATTAATGTTGTTATCTAAAAATTACCACATTATAAGACTACACTGATTTTCAAAATAAAGTATCTTCTTCACATTTTTGAACATTCTCTGAAGACATAGCTTTGAATATTTCTAGCTGTTAGAAACTACTGAATTCACTTACTGTGACTTTTAACCATCATGAGAAAGTTTAGCACCTGGAGTTAATGGGCTTGTTCTTTTCTTATGTTTATATCAAGGTGTTGTTCAGGAATACTAGTGCTAAATCACCTTTTATTTTCCAGTGTAAGATTTACCTTAAAATGTATAGAAAGCATGTAAAAAGTTAATCTAAAGATAAGACATGATGGTGTGGTCAAGTAGATAGGCGAAGGTTAAGTTCTGTGTTATATAGACCATTTCTAATTCCTTAAAATAAGTCTATGAAAAATGTGTTGCTTTTCAGGAATGATTTTGCAGATCTTTTTGACATTGTGATTACAAATGCTTTGAAGCCTGGTTTCTTCTCCCATTTACCAAGTCAAAGACCTTTCCGGAGACTGGGTAAGTTATGTTTTGGTTTTTTTCTTCTTATATTTAAGATTTGTCCATTCATTTATTCAATAAAATCTGTTGGCTAACAACCACGTGCAAAGTACTGTGTTAGATGCAACAGGGGCATAAAAGAGACACTATGTCTTTTTTTCCCCTCATGGGAGAGAAAAAAGATAATAAACCTATATTCATATTAAATTTTACTGTACCACGTGGTGTCATAATTATTTGTTTGACTTTAAAAATGAAGGGCATGGACTTTATCTTAGTTTTTAGGGCCTAAATAAATGCTTCAGTAAATATTTTAGGGGTGAATTTGTTTTGATAGGTCAGAATCGGTCATTTTCTAGGACAGAGGTGCCACAGAATACGTGCGGATTATAAAAAATGATGCAGTCCTCCCTCTGGGGGGACAAGCACAGGCTTCAAGGAAGGGCGGTTAGAGTTGTCACACATGTAGAAGAGGCTGATGGAGAGCTGGGATGAAAGAGTGAACGAATTTTTCAGATGAGAATGGTGGGGAGGGTGAAAAAGGTGAAGGGATTAAGAAAGCACAAATTGCCAGTTATAAAACCAGTCACAGGGATGTAAGTAGAGCTTAGGGAATATAGTCAATAATATTGAAGTGAGTATGTATGGTGCCTGGTGGGTACTGGAAATATCAAGGAACACTTCGTAACCACTGTACTGTAGACCTGAAACCAGTACAAAATAATATTAAAAGTAAACTGTAATTAAAAATTTTTTTAATTGTATATAGTAGCAACACCATAGTAACAAAAAATTGAAATCTACCTAAATGATCACCAGTAGGGGACTGGCTTAATAAATTATGGATTATACACATAATGAAATACAATGCAGTTACAAAAAATAATGAAGAGGTTTTGTGTATACTGATGGGATATCTACAAGGTATATTAAGTGAAAAACAAATGTAAAACAATGTGTTAAGCATATTACCATTTTATAAACAAAAGGAAAAACTAAAATATATTGATGCAGTATTTTTTACTTTGAACTCCTTTGTGCTATTTAAAAGCACTATTCAGCCATGGCTGGGGTGACTCAGTGGACTGACTACTGGCCTGGGAACCAAAAGGTCACCGGTTCGATTCCTGGTCAGGGCACCTGCCTGGGTTGTGGGACAGGTCCCTGGTTCAGGGCATGCAAGAGGCAACTGATCCATGTATCTCTCACACATTGCTGTTTCTCTCCCTCTCTTTCTTCCTCCCTTCCTCTGTCTCTAAAAGTAAATAAAATATTTAAAAACACTATTCAGTGTAAGACAGTTGACAGTAGCTCAGTTCTCTAGTCACTGAGGAGCACACAGTGAAATTCAAATTCAGCTTCAGAGCAGTAGGTGTCAGACACTGAGGGATCCTCAGTGCACCAGTCAGATGCATAAAAGAACACAAAAGCAAGTCAGGAAACCCACAAGGTCTTGATACGTGTTGCGAAGGAAGTAACCGCCTGATGAGGCCACCTTGGGTGCCTGGCCAAGGCAGGCCTGTCCAAAAGGCGACTTGCAAGGAGGGACCTGAAGGATGAGTAATGAGAAGAGCCGAGGATGGATGTTCCTAGCAGTGGGACAAGCTAATGCAAAGGCCCAGGGTGGGAGTAGTTTTGGTGAGTTCCGGTGACAGAGAAGATGCCTGTGATTCTGGCACCTGGTCATGGGGAGAGAGGGGTGAAGTTAGGGAGACAGGCAGCCTCATACACTATGGGAAACAGTGTGGGTTTTATTCCATGAGCCGTCTGAAGCTATGCACTTGAGGTAAAAGGACGATGCAGGGACACCTTTGGCTGCTAGGTGGGGAATGGATTGGATGTGGGGAGGGGTAGAAAGAGGGGAAGACCCGACAATTGCAGTGTCCCAAGTGGGAAACTGCGGTTGTTTGCCCTGAGGCAGCCGTCCTGGAGATGAAGAGAAGCGTGTCCAGGGGCAAAGTAGGTTTACAGTTGTGATATGCAAAACACAGAGTTTGTCATTGTAAACTGTATTATTATTTATTAATTATTTCCATATAAACAACTATAAACCACCCTGTATATTTAAGATACATTATGGAGGTAAAAGACACAGGACTTGGCGATGCTTTAGAAGCAGCAGACAAAAAGAAAGGAGTAATCGAAAATGACTTCCAGGTTGTTCATTTTTCTTTTTTTCTCAGCTGAGCAGGGGGGTGCATGGTGACCCCAGTTACAGCCATGGGGAAGAATATGGAAGAAGAGTTTGGGTGGGTGGGGGATTATAACTCATAAGAACTCATTTTTTGTCCTGTTAAATTTGATATGCCTAGGAGTTGTCTAACTGGAGCTATCAATTGAGAAGTTATATAAATGAGCCTGAAGTCCAAGAGAACAAGCATAGGCTCAGGATATAAATTGGGGAGGCATCAGCTCATGGAGAAGTATATAAAGCCATGGGCTTATATGAGATCACATATAGAGAGAATGTAGATAAGCAAAAGACCCAGACCAAATTTTGACACGCTCTGGCATTAAGGATAAAGAAGCAACAGTGCAGTCTAGGAGCAGACCGATTATCGTAGGGGGAACAGGAGATTCAATGTTCAGAAGCCAAGGAGAAAAGAGGTGAGAGGTCCTTAGAGGAGGTGCTACTGAAAAGTCCACCGGAGTGTGCAAGGCGGAGGTCGCCGGTGTCCCGGAGGGCAGTGGTAGAGAGACCACATGGCGGTGTCTTGAAGGGTTGATTAAAGACAGTGGAACCAATGAGTGGAGACAACTCTTTCTGGAATTTTAGCTGTGAGGACAGTCAGAGAATTGAGGTTTTAGCTGAAAGACAATGTAAGGTCAAGAGCATATGTTATTTTTTTTAAACTGAAGATATTAGAATATGCATATATGCTCATGACATAGTCCAGGGGGGTGGTTTTTAATCTGTGAAACTTTTGTTCCTCAGGGCAAACTTGGCAACGTTTGGGGACGCTTTTGGTTGTCACAGCAGGGTGCTGCAGGCCTCCAGTGGGAAGAGGCCAAGGAGGCTGCTAAACAGCCTGCAATGCACAGGACAGCACCTCACTGCCACCCACAAGGAATTATCTGCTCCCACATCTCAGTACTGTCAAGGTTAAGAAACCCTGGTCTAGGAAAAATCCTAGCTATTAAGAAAAAGTCTGTTATGAGGAATTCAAATAATACTCTTTGTATTAAACCAGAAAAAAAAATGTTAATATTTTTCTCTCTTCACAAACTTAAATACATAACTAAGTACTCAAAGTTTTATCTGCAGGCCTTTTGTATTTTCTTCCAGTTTATACGTGTTCTATATCTATAATTCTTCCCTTCCACAGATTTTTGTTAGAATTTTGCACACACAGACATTATTTATTTCTGTTTTTATGAGGTGCTTGTAATAGTAGGGGCTCACTGAATGCTAATGGCCGCCCCCACGGGGTTCCACCTTATGCAGGTCCTGCAGCCGTGCCTGAGTGTGGTCTGCCCAGCTGGCTGCTGTCACTTGACTAAAAAGTATTTGATTGTCAAACTGTATTTTCAGAGAATGACGAGGAGCAGGAAGCACTGCCATTTCTGGATAAACCTGGCTGGTACTCCCAAGGGAACGCTGTCCACCTTTATGAACTTCTGAAGAAAATGATTGGCAAACCTGAACCCAAGGTATTTTCTCACAGAGGCAGAGTCCCTGAAGCCCACTTGTAGACATAAACTGTTATAAATTAAAACCATGATTGTGAGTGCATTTAGCTTAGTTATCTGTGGGGAAAAATAATCTGCCTCTGCTTATATACCAATCTATTCTGTTACCTCTTCTGGTTAAATAAGCCTTTCCTTTGTTGATGCAGACTAGGTCTTTTTCGGTAACAGATAAGAGCAGAAATTCCAAGCAAGGGGCCACTGGTTTACGGGATACAGCAGATTAGTGTGTGGGATACCTAAGGAATGATATCCTAGTAATAATCCCTAAAAAAAGTTTTATATGTAGAATAAGCAATAACTGAAATTACAATGCAGACCCACCTAAAGACACACTTCCTTTTGACATCATCCTGGTCACATGGCTGACGTTAGACATCGGTGCATTTTTAGCAGCAGGACCTCTCATCTAAAAAATGTTTGCCAGGAGCCCTGTGAGCAGGAGAGATCAGTGGGTAACAGCCCTGTTCCATTGGAACCCGTGTTGCCACAGCACCCTGGGAATTCCTGAGGGGTTTAGTGGACAGTGCACCTTGACTTGGAGGTTCTAATTCATATTCCCTTTACTTCGTTTTCTCGCCTGTAAAAGGGGTGTAGACCAGATCAGTGGATATCGTAGTCCCAGAATACCAGGGGAGCACCTCAGAGTCCATCGTCCAACCCCACTCTCAGAAATTCTGTTTCAGCAGAACGAGAGGGAACGCAGAAACTTTGGGAAAGTGGTTGTGGCATGCACTCTTGCTAATCTAACCCACTGTAACAGTCATCTCTAAATCTCACCAGTCCTTCAATTCTAGGGGCAGGTTTAACTGTACACATATGGACTCTCACTTCTTGAGGAAAAAAATTGACCAAAATCACTTATTTTCTGCCTTTTTTTTCTATCTGCATATACATTGTATAACTTCTTAAAATAAACCCGGCATACTGCAAACCAAATGAGGCAAGTTGACAGTCACCTATAAAGTTACTCAAGGAAGTTTAAGATACTTATACAACTCATAGAGGAATTTTCTTCTGTCTTCAGTGAAATATCCACCACTCTTTTTCACAATTCTAATGCCTCAAACAGAATTTTCTGTCTGACCTACAGGTTGTTTACTTTGGTGACAGCATGCATTCAGATATTTTCCCAGCCCGTCACTATAGTAACTGGGAGACAGTTCTCATCCTGGAAGAGCTCAGAGGGGACAGAGACTGGAAGCCTGAGGAATCGGAGCCCCAAGAGAAGAAGGGGAAATATGAGGTAAGGGTTCCTCTTAGCACTTTCCTTTCTTATCTTAGAAAGTGTTTGTTTGTGCCAGGAGACTAAATCTGTCAGCAGTTATTGCGGTCTTGTTGTCACAGCTCTGTAGTTGATCTTGCTGATAATTTTTAAATGATGCCAAGGTAACGCAGCTCTGTCTTCCCTGCCCTCTGCTTCCATCCACCACTGTGGCACCATGGATGATGTTGGTTAGTGCTGAGGCTGCCAGATCCTAACTCACTGTAGTTACACCCTTTCTCTTCTTGGCCACTGAAGCTCTTGTGCTCTTCATGGGTCTAACTTAATTAAATTGATAGCCCCTTTAGAGTAACTCCTGAGCCCCCTGAAGGAACCTAGGTGAAGACTTGAGGTAAAGAATAAAAGATGTCATAAATCTAGAAAGGGAAAATAGTGTTAAGAAGCAGAAAAGAAGATCAGAAAATAAAATGGATATTTCTAAATTCATCCCAGTGGAATGATTATAAAGAAGGAAAACCTCAAGTCCAAAGAACAAATATCGTATCAAAAAATATCAATAAATAGAAATAAGCTATCAAGTCACTAAAAGACATAGAAGAACCTTAAGTGCATGTTACTAAGTGAAAGAAGCCAATCTGAAAAGGCTACATGCTGTCTGATTCCAACCATATGGCAGTCTGGAAAAGGCAAAAAATATAGAGAATAAAAAGACCAGTGAGTGCCGTGGGTTTGAGGGGAGAAGAATGAATAAATGGAGCACAGGATTTTTATGGTGGTAAAACTATTCTGCGTGATACTGTAATGGAGAATATATGACGTTATGTATTTGTCAAAAATTCATAGAACTACACAGCCTAAAGTGTGAACTCTGATGTGAACTACAGATTTTTGTCAATAATAATGTATCAATATTGGTTAACCAGTTGTAACTAATGTACCATAACAATTAACGCAAGATGTTAATAATGGGAGAGGCAGTGGGGAGGCAGGCAGGAGGGGAACATATAAGAATTTTCTGTACTTTTTGCTCTATTTATCTGTAAACCTAAAGCTGTTCTGAAATAGAGTCCATTATAAAAGAAAAAAAACCATAAGCACACCCAAGAAAATGTTAGAATAAAGGAGTCAGGTTTCTAAGAGGTTTCCTTTGAGTAGCATTTAGTCTTCAATGTGATATTGGAAGTTCTTTGGACTATTTGAGTTAAGAAAGAGCTTTAAAACAACCTTCCGGCAAACCTGAGGGACTTTGGAAAAGGTTTTCACTAAACAGAGATTTGGTTTCTTCAAAATGATTTGGGAATGTAGGTACAATGATAAGAAAATGAACAGTGAGCGGGAAAGGTTCCTCCAGCAATATGTACAGGGTGTACACAGTAGCCCCACCCTTCTCTCCCGGACCTCTTTTTTCTTGTTAATTAGTTACAAACATATCAAAGAATTAATAGTTGGCTCCTAGACCGGAAATGGTGAGTCAAGAGCTTAAAGATTGGAGTTCCCAAGATAAAATTTGAAAGAAATAATGTTTCTTCCTGTTAAACTCCACGTATTTCAGAATACTCAAAATTTTTATCCTAAGTACCTGACATAAGTAAGAGCTTATTGTATTGTCAGAGATATTGCAGTAAGGCCACTCATTAGATAGCCATTCAACACTACGCTCTTGTTGAACATGTATGCATGCTGAGTTTTTAATTTGTCCAAGCCTGTCTGCGAAGAATATCGGGGATTTACCGTTGAGTCATACACACTTCCTTTTTACAGAATGTGTTATAGTCTGAGGATAAAGGGGGAGGGAACTTGAGTATGCAAATAAAGCATAACTGTCTGGAGAGGGTACAAATTATAAAAATATGTTAAATGGGGCCTGGTGGATACTTTATTGAGGAGAATTAGGGAAAACTTCATAAAGAATGCAGAATGTGAGGTAAACGTTGAAGGGCAGGTACATTTTCAATTGACGTATACCATATTCTTAGGAAAATTGGGACACAAGTGAATGTCTACAGGAGAAAGACTAGAGAGAGAAGAGAGAAGATGGGAACTTGGTGAAGTCCTAAACAAAGATACGAGTGCTTGTTGATGTTCAGAAAATGGCATGAGCCCTGACCAATGTGGCTCAGTTGAGTGGAGCATTATCTCATTATGATAATGAATATCTACATTCATTATCAATTGATTGGAGCATTATCTCATAACCCGAAAAGTCGGGGGTTCAATTCTCAGTCAGGTCACAAGCCTAGGTTGCGGGTTCGGACCTCAGTCAGGACACATGTGGTCCCTGGTTGGAGTGATATGTGAGGCAACCAATTGATCTCTCTCTCTCACATGGATGTTTCTCTCCCTCTCTTCCCCTCTCTCTAAAATCAATAAGCAAGTCCTTGGATAAAGATTTAGAAAATGGCATGATTTCTTTTGATTAATGGTATATTTATATTTGAGACAAAGTAATTAAAAACCCCAACATCAGAATGAACAAAGATTACATCTATTAATCTGTTTGGGCTTCTGTGATACCATATATTGGCTGGCTTATAAATAACAAATATTTATTTCCCACAGTTCTGAAGTCTAGGAAGTCCAAGATTATGGGGCTGGTCAGCTCAGTGCCCAGGGAGGACCTGCTTCCTCATAGACAGCCCTCTTCTCACTGTACCCTCACATGCCTGAAGGGGGGAGCTAGCTCCCTAGAGTCTCTTTTGTAAGGACTACCCCATTCATGAGAGCTCCACCCTCATGACCCAAAGGCCTCCTAATATCACCTTGGACATTAAGCTTTCAACCTTTGAATTCTGGAGGAACACAGCTATTTAGACTGTAATATCATCCATATAACATTGACCAGAAAGGGTCGATAGGTCTGTTTTTCTCTCTTTATAGGAATAGGGGGGAGCCTAGATTATATCACTTGTTTGCAGACCATTGTCTACATGTGTAATGTGAGTCATGCCTTCTCAGGCTTGTTATTTTAGAAAAGATAATTAATTAAGTAAAATTTATCCTATAAGTTGCTATTTAGATATTAAAAAATTATATTGAAATACACCTTAAATGTACACACAGGAATATGGATATTCATATTCTATACTGATCTTAAATATCTTTGGTGAATCCAAATAGGCTCTTAATGAATGATTTCCATATATCATAACCTACAAACATACATTCTCATATTGCTTCCCAATGTGAGTTCCACACAAAGAATTGTGAATCTAGAGGCATCTTTGGGACCTGTGAGCTCCAAAATGAAATTTTTATCACAAAAGAATGACATGGTTCTTTATAATCCAGATTATATGAATGGGATAGGATTTTCTTTCAATTCTTAATTTTATGCCATATTTATAAAACACTGAAGTATTTTTTTAATGGGTCTTTAATTTAGTCTGCAATTTTCGTGCGCCTGCTCTATCCTAGGCACTAAGCCTTAGGTATACACTAATACATAAGGAAGTTCTTAGCCTTATGTAGTTAATCATCTGTCAAGGATGAAAGGTAAATAGTATGATAGTTGTGAGACAGTATGAGAAGTAATATGAGGGATAAACTCAGGGTGTAGGAAAGTGGAGTAGAGACCTCATCCAACCGGAGTGTGGGAGGTCAAGAAAAACGTCGTGGATGGCATCCCTGGCCTGATACCAGAGATGAATGAGGAGTTCCCAGCAAAGCCAGGGGGAGGGTACTTTTAAGGAATTCTAAGCTTTTACTTTTTATATGGTATATAGTTTGGTTAAGGGAAACAACTAAAATGCCTTCAGATTTTCTATTTTGATTTACTTAGTGGGAAAAAAACATACCATGAGATTGATCAGTTTTCATTGTTCTATTTTCTTGTTTCAGGGACAGAAGGCAAGGCCTCTGTATTCATTTTCTAATAAATGGGGCTCTTTTTTTATTGACTCCACTTCGGGACTGGAAAATACAGAAGACTCCTTAGTTTATACATGGTCCTGTAAGAGAATCAGTACTTACAGCACTATTGCAATTCCAAGTATTGAAGCAATAGCAGGTAAGGAGGAAAATATTTATGTCTTTACCTGTTACTGGACAATAATGACCTTAATTACTAGAATTCTTGTCTTTAAAAAAGGAAAAATTTCCATGGCATTCATTTTTCTGGGAAACATCTAGATAAGGCATTCTTGGTAATTAGGACTTTCCTGTCTCCTGGAGCCAGTGACAAAAGGTGGGAGATTTTTTTTTTTTTAATCTGTTTGGAGTCATAGGATAAAGGTAGGGAAAAACTGCCGGGACAAGAAGCTAAGCTCAGAAGACCAAGTAAGGGGGCTGACTTTGGGTGCTCCTTTTCCCCTTGAGCATTTTCTGATTCAAGAGAGAACACCAAAGAAAGGGAGTGAGATCTTTTAGTAGCTTTATGCACCTACAGGGGTAGAAGGTAGAGGGTTGAGCCTGCCAAAGGAGGATGGGCCTGGTGGACTCTCAGTCTGTGTGGAGGAGTATGAGTTAGAAGTTAAGAGTGTGAGACTGAAACTCAGCTTTAAATCAGATGAATCCCTAAAATGGGATTCAGAAAAGTCTAGACTGGTAATGCCCCAAGGCACCTTGTAAAAACCAATGAATAGTCTCTTAAGGAATAATACTCTGGAACTCAGATTATTTCTAAAACCAATATAAGTTTCAGCATATAATGAAAAATAGCCAGGTACACAAGGATATGAGACTATATTAACATAGATAACCAAGTTTACTGTGGTCAAGTACAGCAATGAGAAATATGGTAGAGACAAAACTATAAAAAGAATGGAAATTTTAAAATTGAAATGTTAAGAACTTAATGGATGGGTTTAACAGGCAATTAGACACAGTTGAAAAATGAATTAGTACACAGGAAAATAAGTCAAAGACTTCCACATTGGCAAAAATGGAGGAAATGTACCTCTAGAAGACCTAGACTAAGTAAATACTAACGAGTATTGTTCTTTAAGCAAAAGTAAGAATGATCCCTGTTGGAAGATCAGAGATACAAGAAAGAATATACAGTAACAAAAAGATAGACATGTAAATGGATTAAAATGAATACTTCCTCTTGGAAACAATTAAAAAATTACATCCTATGGAGTTTAAATGGAGAATTTAAAAACATGACCATAATGGCATATAAATCCCAAAGGGAGACAGCTGGAGTTAAAGTGTTGAAATTGCTTGTATTATATTGTATAAAGGATAAGAGTATGATAAATAGTGATGTCAAAAATGCATGTTGTAATCAAAAGACTTGTACTGATATACATATAGTGCTAATTATGTAAAATAACTTTAAAATTAAAAAAGAGGGGAAAGAATGTTAAGAATAAGCGAGACAGCCCTGACTGGTGTGGCTCAGTGGGTGGGGCATTGTTGCACTGACCAAAAGGTCACCAGTCCACTTCCCGGTCGGGGAGCGCGCCTGGGTTGTGGGCCCGGCCCCCTTTGGGGGCATGCAAAAGGCAACTGATCCATGTTTCTCTTCCTCTCTTTCTTCCTCCCTTCCCCTCTCTCTAAAAATAAATAAATAAAATATTTTTTTTTTTAAAAAGGATAAGCAATACAAATGGAGAGCATCCAGTAAAATGGTAGATTTAAATCTGAGTAATTACAAGGGAAAGTGGTGGTGGGAAAATGGAGACAAATGTACTTGAACAATAAAAAAAATTAAAAATAAACTTAAAAATAAATCTGAGTAATTACATTATAAGTAGGTGGCTAAATACTTCAATTAAAATCCTGAATGAAATAAAACCCAACTATGGACTGTTCATAAGAGATATCTTTGGAACATAGGGACACTGAAAGTTTGAATGTCAAGGATGGAAAGAGATACCGTGATAACATTAATCAAAAGAAAGTTAGAGCTCACTGTATTGATATGAAACAAAGTAGACATTAAGGAAAAATAAATCCATTAACATGAAAAATAATCACTTCAAAATAATAAATTCTGTTTTCAGAAATACGTAACTGAAAGTCTGAGATATTCACCTGGGCCCCCTCCTCTCTCAGAAGTCAATTACTCCCCGTTTTTCAGTACCAAGAAGCTGCTGAAAAATCCACTCTGCTTTACAGAGATGTATGCTCCTGCTTGCCTTAGTTTCCTGAAGATCTCCTTAGAATTTGGGAAAGGGCTTGAGGAGAAAACCAGCAAAGTCCACTTCTTCACCCCTTCCTTTACACTCCCTCAATTTTTCTCTGCAGCCCTTAAAGATGACAAATGCTCTACTGGTTTTTCTGTGCTAGTAACTGTCCCCACCCCCAGACAGATTCAGTGTCTAAGGGGAAAAGCTGTGGCAGAATGCAGGCTCACATTTCTGCTTGTTTCCCAGGAATTGTGTGTTCTCAGATCCTGGTTGTCTCTTCAGCTCTGCAGTGACTTCACTCTGATGTTTATAAATTGTCTCAGCTCCAATTTAGAAGTGAAAGTCTGAAGTTTTTTAAACCTCAGATTCTTCTTTCTTAAATTGGGGATGACAATATCAGGCTGCATTTCCTCCCTCACAGGCAGGATGTGAAAGAAAAAGCAAGATATTTACCTGATGATGATGACAGCGACCCTAACAAATGTATGACCTTGCAAAAGGTCCTTCCTCTATGACCGTATACGAATCCGGTATATGTCAATACATCCTATTCATTGAAGTATCTCATTCTCATTGGTTTCAAGCAAATGGTTTATTTATTTCTTTTTTTTGTTTTGTTTTGTTCCATGCTTACACACATAACATTAAAGAAAGATAATCTGAATATATGTCTTCCTTTTACAAATGATTTTCCTTTTAAAAAAATGGGCCTGCTAACTTGAAGGAAGGGGCCACTGTTGAGCTCATCAGCAGAGGAAAGATCTGAAAGGCACAGTGGTCAATTTGTTGTGTTTTTTGTTTTGTTTTCCAGAATTACCCCTGGACTACAAATTTACAAGGTTCTCCTCAAGCAATTCAAAAACAGCTGGCTACTATCCAAAGCCTCCACTGGTCTTAGCAAATGGTGAATCACTGGCAACCAAATAACTTGATCTTTACTGAAAAATGAAGAACCATATATGCAGCAAATGTACTGTAAAAATGTTAATTTTTTTAAAAAAATACTGTATCATTCTTTATTGGAACAAATTCTTAATGAAAATTGACAAAGAACTTGATGTTTTTTCCATAGGTCCTCTTTCTCTAGATATGCCCAATAACTCTTATTATATCAAGATCTCAGTATCTTAGAACTGAAAAGAACCTTGCTATATATTTTGTGCACCAAGAGTTCTGAGATTAGAATTCACTTGGGGGCACACACACACACACACACACTCACTCTCTCTCTCTCTCTCTCTCTCTCTTACACTAAGCCTAGGCCAGTGGCTCTCAAAGTGTGGTCCCAAACCACTATCATAGCATCACCTGAGAACCTGATAGAAATGCAAATTTGCAGACCATACCCCAGACCTACAGAATGAGGATCTCTGGAAATGGGGCCCAATAATCTGTGTTTAATAATAATAGTATGATTCACACTAAAGTTTGAGAGCCACTGGCTTGACCATAACCGCCAGAGATTAGTTTATTTGGTCCAGGGATATAGATGAGCATTGACCCCTTTTATACGCCCAAGAACACTGAGTCCAGTGAGATTAAATGATTTTTCCAGGGTATCAGGTTTTATGCTAGTCTTTTGTTTTCCAAAGCAAGGAATACGGATGTGATTTTTTCTCATACCTCACAGCCCATATGGGAGAAAGGTGATACTAGAAGCCAACTATTTCAGTCTCCAATGTTACTAATTAGGGTCCGCCCTAATAATGTTAAAAGCTGTTTAACTCATTTTCATTCCCCTTAAAGCATGCATTCTCAAAAAGGAAAAGAAAATGGTTCTTAGGGTGAAAAAAATAATAGTGCAATGGATTCTAGCCCTCCAAAGCTCAACATTACCCAATAAAATCTTAATTCCATGGTATTAATACTTCTCATTAAGAAAAAATATAATTTAAAGCTCAATATATTAAATTTGAGTTAAATTTTTCTCCTTGGGTGGGGTGGGTGGTATTGAAAAAAAAATTGAAAAAACTGCTTTAAAGGGATTTATCTTTATAAATACCATCCAGGATTATTATGTTCTATGTGCTACTCATAGTCATGTTAGTAGCTATTTGTTGCAAGATGTTTGGAGGCAGATAATGTTTACAATATAAATCCTAGCTACTCTTTATGTTGTAATTTCACTGTGTTCATCTTGAACAATAACAGAAAACACAATGATCACTATCATTATTTTATTTGGTCTGTAGCAGAGAACTTAGTATATTGATGAATACAATGAAAAGATAAATATTTTGTTAAAAATTTTAAATGCTCAAAAATAATCCCAAATCTATGGTGGGGATGAGTATCTCAGGGTTGGTAAACAGATATTGAAATTATTTTCTCAAAAGTCAGTAGCTTTCTTTGATATCCAATAAGAATAATGTGTTTGAACTTGATTTCCAAAATCTCAATGGAATGTGATGATGAGCACACACAGTCAAGCTTAAGGCTAAATGACAGATGCTGTCTCATGTATACTTTGACTACACATTTGATTTCTTTTAAAAAATAAAGCTATTTTTCCTTACACGTGTTTATTTTGTAAATGGCAAAGAACAATGCATCTTTAAATGCTTATAAACTACTGTTGTTAATATGAAAAATGAGAACCCCCAAACAAGAAGTTAATTGCACTTTATGGGCCACTACGTAGCGAAGAAAAAATACACTTAAATAAGAAATTCTAATCCTATTTTTACTAGTGTCTATCTAAAGAATCTGAACAAGTTAACCACCTAATGTGACCTCAGTTTTACCCACCCTGTTGAAGAGGAGGTTAGAGTTTATTTCCAAGTTTCCTTCCAACTTTCTAAGGGACAGTCAGGGACAATAATGAATGCTGTTTCTCTGTTGGACCGTAATTAAAATGTTTATTTCACTTCTAAAAGTGCCAGTGTTTCCAATTGGACAAGAAGATTTAAAATCATCCAAAAATGGCACTGTAAAAATTAAAAAGAGAATCTTAGAGAAGAAAGCTCTATGTTCTAAATAAAGTAATGAATGATAAAGCAGAAGTTGTGCAAATAGGCAGAAGACTTAAGTGTAATCAATCTTAGAATACAGGCAAACATTCACCATCCCTTTAAAAGATACCTAAAAATGATTGTCAAAGGAGCTGAGATTTTCTTTGCTGGCCACTGTTGATCTCATCAGCAGAGGAAACACCTGAATGGCACAACCATCAAACAATTTGTCAGAATTTGGTGTTTAGAATATTGAGGTAGCAGAAACTTCAACTGAACCTAGAATTACAGCTTAAAACCCAACTACTGAGTTTGTTAAACTCTAAATTGAAATCAAGTATTATTTCCTCCCCAATCCACACCCCACAGTAACTTTATATGCATATTTAAAGCATATATGATGTGTATATTTATACACATACTTTTAGTGAACTTGTCTGAATGCAAAAAATAAAACTATGTGATTATTTTATATAACAAACCAGCATAAAATGGAATGTCAAACTATATCCTTGGATATAACTGACATGAATCTTTTTTATTTTTTTAATGTGATGATGCAGCAGCTTTTCCTTACTTCTTCTCAGGCTCTTGATAACAAGGTTATCATAGAGTTGGCTTCCAGATTAGTGCAAGACTGGGATATATTCGAGAGAATACACACCCAGTGTGGAGCAGTTGCTGCCCTTAAAAATCCTTGGGCATGGTCCAGTCAACGCAGGATGAATTCAAAAAGGTAAATTCTTGTTGTCTCTAGAATCATCCTCAGAAACATGGTAAAAATATAATAACGAGTGCTGACTCCTTACCAGGCTACTTTATGTGCCTTATTTACCCCCTACAGCAACCATATCTATGATCCCTCCAAGTTGTGTGGTTACTAAGAAACAGAGCCTGTACATGAACCCAAATTTGATCCCAAAAATCATGCTTTGTTGATTGGTAAAGTCTTCCAACATTGGATCTAGACTGGGGCAAATTCTGTCTGAAATCACACTTCAATTTAATAATCACACCATGCTAGGGCAAGTAAGAAATTAGAAATGAAGACACAGACTGTCCTAAAGTAATTTAAAATTTTATAAAAAATATTAAAAACAAATACCTATTAACATAGAACTTAGCTGGAAGAGTAAAATAAAGAACCAACAGTCACAGAAGTCCTACAGTGTATAACAAAGCCTGCTCTTCTTGGAAGAGATGTGCTAAAGGCTGGTCTACTCTTCACAGTCAGGTTCAAATGTTCACCTTGAATACTTAGCAGATTTCCCTCTTGTGCTGAGGAAACCAACATGGAGAAGGGAAATAAAAACTAGTCCAAGTAAACTTAGGGGAAGATGAGATATCTGGGCCTACAGAGAATTTTGGGTCATTACTTAAAAAGACAATTACAACAGCACAGAATGCTTGACAATCAGGTTCTTGTGCCAAGCACCAGTTCTCACTCATTAAAAAGAAAAACAAAAATCTTTTACTTTCTTGGTACTTCGGCTTTTCTACTTTCTTGGTAAAGATCAAACCTTTAATAAAGTTTAACAAAGTTTAATAAATTAGAGAAGGAATACATTCCTAAGTGCCAGTTAAAAGAAATCACCATGTTGAATTAACAAATATTTGGTCTCTAAATTTAATAGATATCAACATTTCTTTATACTTCTTAGCAGCTATACTTCATAATATTTAAACTCCTTTTGGTGCATTTATTGGATTGGCCAAAAAGTTCATTTGTTTTTTTCCATTAAGATGAGTCTAGTAGCGCTTAGTTACCTTTAACTTCATTTGAAATGGTTGATTGTATTGTGACAGCTATCACATCAGCATTCATTTTTTTTTTAAAAACTTGTCAAAAGTGATGAATTTTTGTGTAGCCATTTTAATATTGAAGATGGAAGAAAATACGCAACATTTTCAGCACATTATGCTTTATTGTTTCAAGAAAGGTAAAAATTCAATTGAAAACCCCAAAAAGATTTGTGCAGTGTTTGGGGAAAGTGCTGTGACTGATCGAACTTGTCAAAAGTGGTTTGCAAAGTTTCGTGCTGGAGGTTCCTTGCTGAATCATGCTTCACAGTTGGGTGGACCATTTGAAGTTGATCAAATCAAGACATTAAATGAAAACAATCAACATTATACCATGTGGAAGATAGTCAACATACTCAAAATGCCCAAATCAATATAGTTATTAGTAAAAATTAAAAATGTGTCTGTATTTTGGGGAAAAAACCATAAGGACTTTTTGGCCAATCCAATACTTTCATTGAAAAGAACAAACTGCTGATTTCATTCATTTATGCAGCAAGTTTACATGCTTGATATGCTGACTTTACATATCAAGATACATATGTAAACTCAGGAGTGTTTTAATTTAGTATGGAATCCTGTATTAATTAAAATAAGTGATAAACAGTACCTCTTTCAAAAACCATTCATGAATGGGTTAAGAACCACCATCTGAGGACTGCATATGTACATCAATAGGGTTTTGTTTTTATGCCATTTTTTAGTACAGTTGTGTGATATAAAAGACAGCCTGAAAATTTAACTGTGAGACTTGCATCTTGGGCAGTTTACTTTAACTTTCTGAACCTCTATTTTCACTACTATTTAAATGGAGGTAGTAAAACTTATGTCAGGATTATGAAGTTAATGGGAGAACACACGTGGAAAGTGCCTGATACATCGTGAGATTACCAAGGGAATGTGTATCTGAAGCAAAATCAGATATCCAAGGTTCAAATTGTGACTCCATAGGGCAGGGAACTGAAATAATTAAGAGTATAGGTAATTTGGGTTTGTTTTTAATAATGAAAACTGATTTAAGGGAACTTTATTCAGCTGGAGATGAAGCAGAAGCAGCAGCAAGAGCAGTGGGGAGGGAGAACTGAGGAAGGTCAGAGAAGCCTTTTGTGGGTGGTCTGGCCTGTTGGTGTCTGAGCTGAATGCCTAGAAATGGTAAAAGATTGGTATGTCAGGACCAGGGAAATTATGAAGTATGTCACTACTTCTCACAGGGCAATATGGCCTCAGCAGACCAAAATAATATGTGCTGCTTCAGGACAGGAAGATGAGAGAAACTCTTAACTGTTTTGGAGTTCTGCATAAAGAATAAAATTGTGTCTAAAATTGAGAAAGAAAAACAAAAAGGTACAATGCAAAGAAATAAAACAGGGCTATAGGAGTAAATCAACTGGTTAGTAAGTACAGCCTAGATAATGCATATTTGAGTGTAGTATTATCAGACTAAACAGAACAAATGAAACAGATGTTGATCTCCAACAAATGAATGGCACCAGCATAACAGAAAAATAAATATTAATGGTTAGACTGAAGCTGATAAGCCAAGGGCAACAAAATGACATTTTTTTAATTATGTGCAGAACAGGATAAAAGAGATAATGCTTGAAACAGGTGACTGACAATGCAGCACTCAATCACTGAATTAAAAAAGTAAGATGAACACCGTAAAGGGAATTTAGGATTAAGATGGGTATAGAACTTGCAAAAGAAAATTTAGCTCTTTAATACTTCAAGTTCTCCAGGCCGAGAAAAATTACACGTCAGCAAGTAAAACTTGCAAGAAAGACCTTCCCCAAGAGTCAGCAAGACAGTTTAACTATAGATTTTTCTCTAACTTGTATCAGTATTTTGGGCCATTTGTCAAATTTTTGTTTAGATGGTTAAAAATACTTTGTCATTTGCAGATCTTATAGCATCCAAAGTGCTCTCTACTAGAGAACACAGCCGTCATCTCCCAAACCTTCACTTAACAGCTGCTGATTAGCAAAATGCTCTGATGCCTGAAATTCCCTGTTTCTAGACATTATATTTCAATCAGTATTTTTGTTCTCTGTAAAGTACCACACTGTTGTAGAAGAATTTAGGTAGCACTTACAGAGTACATAATGGTTAATTCTTCCAAAAGTCTATCTTACGCTCATTAAGAAGGAGACCAAGGTAGGGAAGGGGGATATGGTTAAGATAAATATAGTAAACAAGAATGTGACACGAAGAACAGTTTTCCAAGAAAAACAGTAAGGAACAAATCAACATATGATGTTTCAATTTCCACCAAAAACTTCACTGGTTGTAAAGAAAAATATATATATATTTTTATATATATAAATATTAATGTATATATATTTGTTTATATAAATATAAATATATATATTTTTTTCATTCATGAGTATGCAGCTGCAGTTTTACCATTTTCCAAGCCAAAAAAATCTTAGGTTTGGTGGCTGTGCCTTTTTTAACCTTCAGGACGATGCTTACTGTGACCATTTAATAACTTTAGCATTTTCTCAACCTTATAATAACCTAGACAACATAGAATTTTATTAATTTTTATTTTGGTGAAAACAAGAACTACATCAGAGTGACAGATTTTATTTTTCCTTCAAGCACATAGGAGAAGACAAAAGTACTAAGGGTCCTCGTTTAGAGTGACAGAGAAATTACACATACTTACACAGGTTAGGAACAAAGTATCAAGTACCACATTACTTCTAGGGCAAGAAATATCAAGACAGTTATGTTTTTCTTCTTGAGATTACTTTCACAAGACAGTGACATTTGCAAAATTTCACTCTTCATAGATCACATTACTCAAATTATATTTCTAAGGATAGGGTTATATATGAAGAGAGACCAGAACAAGCTGATACATTAATAATATTCACAGAAGTCTTCATACGACACAGGGATCAAGTTTGATTTTTAGTACCCATTCTCAATTACAAGCAAAAGCAGGCCTATAAATGTCAATTTTGCCAGCAAGCAAAAATGGTGAAAGGAATGAATAGGATTTTACTCACAGTGAACTAAGAAGCATATACCATCAATCTTCCAGATATAAAAGGATACTCCTAGAATAATAGAAAACATCTAGACCTGCATGTTTGTGTATAAAAATCTGGTGAATTCAAAGACATAGGAAAAATTGGGGGAAACCCCTTACAAGCATCCTCTTTAAACATTAGCCACTTGAACCATCAACCAGATTTTCTCACCCACCGTGGGAAGAGCCTGGGGGCCTCCCCTCCTCCCCCTGAGTTGCAGGGTTCCAGTCTTCACTCCACAGCAAGCTCACTGCTGTTTCCAGGCTTTCAGTTCCTCCAGCCTAGAGCACCCTCCTCTATGCTCTGTGCCCAGACTTCATAAGCCCTGGGGAACTTACAGCAAAGCCTCCAAAAAGAAAGGAGAATTGGTAAATGTCATCAGCACCACCATACCCCTCCGTAAGTAAGGCAGCCCTGACGTCCCACGTACTGGAACTTGGTCTGAAAATCCAGACTGACTCCATCCACATATCTCCTTACCCCAAGAAGGAAGGCTCGACATCTGCCACAATGAAGATAGCAGCCTGCTCCCTCTTTTGTTAGGACAGAAGTAGGGGAAGGAATGGGGAAGCTGAGGACTGAGAGCCAAGGACCAGGCAGTAGGAGGGAGGCCTTGGGACATCAGGGCTATAATAAAATAGTACAGAAGACAGGAGTGACCCACAAAATGCTGTTGGGATGTAAGTGGTTCAAGACCTCCCCCACCCACCCCCCCAAAAAAAGAAGTTCCATCTTTAGAGAAGTAGAGTCTAACTTTTGGTCGCTTTAGATCACAACCTGCTGTGATTCTCTCTCGAACCGATCACTGTAAAGCCGACCCTTCTGGCTTCGAGCTTCTTAAACCAAAGCTCACAAAACACAGTTTTGGTAAATGGATAGGAGGAAAGGGTAGGGTTGTCAAAAGTTGGCCTAAAAGAACACTACCCATGATTAATTTACCCAGAGGTCTTCCTCTGAAACATTTAGACCTTGCTAAAGGATGTGGGGTGGAGGCATGAGAAGAAGAAGGCAATGAGGCCTGGGTAATCTATTACACAGTAGCGTTCTCCCTCTGGACACAATGAAGGGGAGGGCAAATTACACCAAAAAGCTGCTCTGCCAGTTTTGTTTCTGAACTGTAACTGCTTCAGAGGGAGGGGAGAAGAGGGACAGGGACAGGGAGATGGAAATACATCTTCCTAGGTGCCTGCACCCTGGCAACTTTGTCACCTTCAGAACAGATACAGGAAGAGTTAGGGAGAGGATGTTTAACACAGCTGTCTAGATTAAGGGTGAATTATTGGCTAGGACTCCGAAAGGCTTTTGGGACCTCCGTTCCAGCCTTGCTTTGGGGACTGTCACATAGCCTGCCCAGTCTTCCTGACAGCCAACTGGGTTTTTCAGGTAACTTTGGGGAGGCGGGGGCGTGGTTTGCTGCCTGGGTGCTTAAGCCCACAGATAGTTCCTGAGGAGGCAGGCAGTGGTATCCAGCCAAGGCTCAGCCAAAAGACTGGTAACAGGTTTGGGTGGCCCACAGCACAGGCTTTCACACTCACCAGTACCTGGTCACAACGCAGTGACCAAAGGCATAAGAAGATCAACATGACACTGTGTACCTCTCATCTGTTATCTCATTCAGGCCTAGAAGCCACTCACCAGCCACCTTCTTATTCTGGCAAATAACCAGCAGGCTAAATGGCATAGGCCCAAGAAGGCAGCTGGTGGTAGCCTGGAATGTTCAGTTTAGGGTTGATGGCTGGCATCATCCAGATCAGCTTCATCTTCCAGTGGAGAAAATAAAAGATCTTGCCATAGAGCACAAGGTATCAGGAGCACAGCCAGTTTTAAGTGTGAAGCCCTGCTAGTTATTTGCAAGATATACATCAAGTTTGTTTGTGGTAGATAACCGCTTAAAAACCTGGGAAAAGACCATCGTCACAGACAGGGCCCAAGGCATGCAAAGGGAGTCAGTGCATATCTACGGCATCATGTGCGTGGCACAGCAGCAGTGAAAAGCCATGCACTTGGAACGCAACACTTTGCAGAACAGCATGAAGGCCCAAAGGAAGAAGAGCATAGACACAGAAGCGACAATCTTGCAACTGACTGAAGATTTAGAAGAATCAAAGAACAAAATAATCCAGTGTGAAGAGAAAGCAGATGGAAGACTTCATGCTGTTGGCTAAGCATAGAATCCAAGAGGAGGTGGTAAGGAAACTAGTGCAGGAGATTTTCACAGGTCGGGAGTTAGCCAGACTGGAACCTGAAGGACCTCGGGCTCTCCACCGGCTGCCTTGCTGCATCCCGAATTCCTCGGTGGGGCCCTTCACCCATCAAGTAATACTGTAGGGGATTAGGCCAGAGTTCTGCTTTGATAATCTCAGCAATCCTGTCGAATTCTAGGAGGCTGTGGTCGGAGAACCAGTTGAAGAAACTGGGGATAGTGTTTCCTTCTCGGTTCCTGTGGATATGAGACTGGGGATCTTGGCCCCGGTGCCAGCGAATTGGAGTGGCAAGAGACACCACACGGCCAGAGGATCTGCGCTCATATTCCTTGACTAGCCCTTCATTTCGGAAGTAGGGATTGCTCTGAAAGATGAACTTGAATTTGCAGCCTGCCCTGGGGTGTGTAAGCTCCTCCACCTCCAAATTGATCATGTACCTCATCATGTCTTCATCTTGTCCACTGATCATAGGTGACAGCTGAGGGTGGTTCCGGAAGGCAGTGACCCAGAAACCTGGGATATTCTGGATAATGAAACTTCTGCGCTGCATGTGGAGCCTTCGCATCCGGCCAAACTTGCGCTCTAGCTGAAGGAAGGCCCTGTCTGCCTGGGCATTTACATTTGACAGCTCCTGATCGATGGCCTCCAGAGAGTCCATGCAGTTATTGCTCTTCGGGGCCCTGGCCCGCGTCTCCTCTTTCACTCCTCCCATCACCTTTTTCTCCTTCTGGATCCCCTTCTTTTCCTCCGCCACCTCCTCTGCTGTTCCCTCCTTTTCCGCCGTCCCTGAAATGGCGCACTTCTTTGTCATCACCTCCTTGGCCTTCGCCCCAGGCATCATCTGAGACCCCAGCCCCTCTGCGCCACAGGCTTCTAGAGCTTTCTCCCCAGCAGGGCCGCTCGACTCTCTACGCTGACAGCCATTTTCCTGGCTATTGTCGGATGCCCCCGAGGGGGAGACGGAGGCTGCTTCCAGGCCCTCCGTGGGAGGCGGAGCGTCTTTCTGGCCTGCGGTAGTTGCTGCACGGCCACGACTCCCAGCCACTCGAATGCGGAGCACCGGGCCGCAGGCCGAGGGGGCCTGGGACGCGCCTCCCTCCGCAGAGGACTCCAAATTGCGCTCACCTGTGTGCGCCATCCCCTGGGTCGCCTCTGTTGCCTCGCTCTGGCACTGGTTTATGTCGGGATATCCCGGGTCATGGTCAGGAGTGGCGAGGTCGCGGGTGTTAGCGACAGAAAGATTGTTGCCCTCATCCAGGCTGCTCATTTTGGTAGAAGTCAGACCTGCAGAATGAGGGCTGTGCGCGTCCTCTGCAGAGGCGGCGCTCCGCCCCTCGCGCCACCCCTCTTTTCCACACTAGGGAGGACGCTGCTATGGCAACCGGTGACGACAGGGCGCTCCTGTCATAATATCGCGCGAGAAGTAACTGCTCCTTTGTGATGCTGGTCAGTCAAGGGTATTCCATTGTCTGTGTTATAAAATGTTTTTAGTTTCCTCAGCCTGGAAAAGGTTTGGCTTACACGAATAGATGCAGATCAAACTCAAGCATGTACGAATTATGTTAATGTGGATGTCTAAGGCTCTGAGTTAATTTCCAAGGCACCTAAGCTGTTGTCAGTTAAAATATTTGCTTAAAAGGTAAGAAAGGTTAGTTATTGTCTATTCAAGTCAGCTCATAGAGCTTCTCACGTATAAAGTGGATTCAGCAATTCACAGGCCTTCCTTCTTTAATATACAAATTCATGGCTATTTCCAGATAATTGAGGTAAAGTTTAATTTTTAAGAAAAGTGAAGTGTTACTGTTTTGTGCGATCATTTAAATAGGACCAACTGAAAGGGAAACTTCTCTCGTCCTAAGAAGACATAATGAAAGATAATTTCGATTTTCCTTACAAATTTTAAAGTTTATATACTTTGACCAATGCCTATGAAGCAATTGAATATTTCCTCTTCACTTTTAACTAATATAAGTAGCAAAATATTGTATTTTCCTTACTTAGGGGTGACTCAGACACATGTAAATCTGCAAATTTAGCCTTTAAGCATTACTAGAAGAAGTTTAATCTCAAGGTATGCTACTTTCTAAAATTATGTATATTATATGTTGCTTATCCTCAGGTTATAATCTTAATCTTCCATCAGATCACATTAGGAAAACTGTATGTTTACTTTTTGGCTCTACTTCCTCAGGATTTGCATTTAATGTAATTTCCTTAAGAACAGGCCAGGAAGAAACAGTTCTATTAAAAATGAAAAGGGTCACTTAAGCTGCTAATTTTTATAAATACTGAGATGTCTTACCTGTGGCCTGAAAAGACAGGGAAAACACACTAGCTTTATATTGGGATCAAGTCTGTTTTAGAATCTTCCTCCAAATAGCCAAAATAAATATCTTTTCTGTGTGTCTGGGAAACCTCTGAGGTCAAAGAAAATGGATCAAGGTGGCCCTTCTCTGAGCCTGTTTCCTTGTCCATAATGCAAGGATGATAATACCTGTATTACAAGCTAATATTCTCCCAGGTTGTATTTGGTACACATATACACATTGAGAATCCATTTCCTGTTTTTTTGTTTTTTGGTGTTTTTTAAATACAGGATTTTTATAAATACAGGATTCCCATTCTTGGTTACTAGAGGGAGGAAGTGGTCTTTTAAATGATGATCTTGAGTTTGCCTTTGAAGTTTGAACTGCTCTGAAGAGTTTATGGCAATTTTAGACTATAAATTCATTAAAAGAACTGTGGCATGAGTTTTAAACATATATTTGGTGGTATATATATTATTAAAATGAATTATAATATTTATTACATTTAGGGTATCACTTAACAAAATTTCCTCTGACAAGCTTATTTGGTTATGACAGCTCCCTGTGATACAGTGTTTAGGCAAAAAAAAAAAAAAAAAAATCATATACCCTTGCTTTCCTAAATCATAAGGAAAATCAGAGACAAGGTTCCTAACCTGAATGACTTTGTACCTTTGTATGCTGAGCGTGATAGTTAATTTTATGTGTCAATTTGACTGGGCCAAAGTGTGTCCAAATTAAATATTTCTGGATGTGTCTTTTGGGGTTTTTTTGTAATTAGCATTTAAATTGTTGGACTCGAGAAAGTAGATTGCCCTCCCAATGTGCATGAGCATCATTCAATCCTTTGAGAGACTGAATAGAACAAAATAGAAAAAAATAGAAGGAGGAATTTTCCCGTTTTGCTTCCCGCCTAAGTACTTCAGCTGGATCACCCTCTACTGCCCTTAGACTGGTTTTTATACCATCAGTTCCCCGTTCTCAGGCCTCAGGTCACCAGCTTTCTTGGGTCTCCAGCTTGCACACAGAAGATTATGGGACTTCTCAGCCTCCATATCGCAAGAGTCAATTTCTCATAAATCTATTTTTCTGGAGAACTATGACTAAAACAGTGACTAAAGACACATACATTGGAATCAGACAGATCTAGCTATATAAGTCTCAGTTTTGCCACTTAATAGCTATTCAATATGAGCAGGTCACTTCGCTGAGCCACAATTTCCTCATATACAAAATGAATATAATAAAACTTAATTTACAGGACTGTTGTGAAGATGAAATAAGATATATGTAAAGTGTTTCTCACAATGGGCTTTCAATAAATAAAAGCTAACTTGGTAATTTGTTGTATTTTGTTGTTGCTTTTTTTACTAAGATTTACCTACATTAAATACACTATAGTGCAGGCAGTATAAAAATCAATGTCAAATTCTATTATGAAACTAAGTGTATAGAGGTTCAATGATGAAAAATACCTGTAAAGAATGGAGCAGTAAGTGAAATAAAGGAGAGTTGAATTGGACCAAGATACCATTTTAATAATGTGAGGAAGGTATGAAACATTAGGACTTAGTATTTGTTCACTATGTTCAAGTTACTTCTAATAATTCTAGACATATAGCATTTCTAGTTCATACGAAGGGAAAGGTTTAATGCTGAAACAAAAAAAGTTTTACCACATTTTATTTTGCATATTACTTTAAAGTCTTCATAAAATAACTTAAGAAAAAAATTAGTTTTGTAAAATCAATGCTTTTAATAGCTAATCAAAGATGATTCATCAAAACTTACCCAAGAGTAAACTCGAGTTTTGGCCATTACTTAAAATGGCTGACTGCAACAGAACCTGGACAACCATGTACCCACCAGCTCTTAGACCCATCTTAACAGAACTCCTAATTGTAGAGTTCTAAAATAAGTCAGGTCTTAGTGAAAAGGATAAGAATTAAGTATTGTCTAAGTAATACGAATATACAACAAATATACATTCTCTACATTTCTTAGTGATATCAAATGTTCTTTACATCTCAGCAGCCAAATTCGAGAAGGATAGTAAAATATTTTAATTACAGTGACCCATTTTGTTCTTCTGAGGGAAAATAAAACCAAGCAATTTAATTTAGGCAGTAAATAGCCAAAACAGCATTTTTAGAACCATATAGGGTTTGGAGACTCTATTATTTAACATAAGGAAATAAACACACAAAGATAAATAAATAGATCCCTTTTTAAAGCCATTCATGAATGGATTAGGAATAACTTTCAGTTAAAGCCATGATATTCATACTTAATCAGGATTTTACATGTTTTTGTGCCAAAATCACAGGCTGCTGCAATATAGTAGAATGTACCCTAGCTTGAAACGAGAAAGCCTAATTGAATGTAGCTTGTTATTTACATCTAGGTTAATACATTCCAATTTCCTCTATTGTTGAGCCTCTATTTTCCTGTCTTTTAAGTGGGGATAGTGATACAAAAACTGTAGGATTACAAATGTACAATGAGAACATTTCCTGATACTCCTAAGAATCTGCTGAAATTATTGAGACAGGTATGTACTTGAAACAGAATTGGCTATCTGAGGCTCAAATTGTGACTCTATTGGGCAGGGAATCTAGCTGTGATTAGGAATATAGGTCAATATCTTGTTTTGCTTTTATAATAAAACGTAAATTAAGGAAACAATCAACTAGAGATGAAGCATGAGCAGCAATCGAGTTTAGGTTCCCAAACCTTACCATGTCTCAGAATCACCTGAAATGCTGGTTAAAACAATTGCTACGCAGTTTCTAATTTAGCAGGTAAGAAATGGAGTTCTAGAATTTGTATTTCTAACAAGATTCTGGTGATGCTTCTGGTGGGGGGACCATCCTCTGTGATACACTGCTTTAAGGTAATGGAAAGGAGTAGGTTGGGGCTGAAGAGTCAGAAAGAAGGGCACAAATAAGGAAGGTCAGAGAAGCATCTCGTAGGCATATGAATGTCCAGAAATGAAAAGAGCAGCTCAGGGAGATTCTTGAGAGTGCCACAGGGAGAGTATTACTATGTCAGCACTATTTCAGGACGTACTGTCCTGAGCAGGCTTAGTTTCTTCAGTGGCCTGAAATTGAGAGAGAAAAGGTTGAAAAGTAATTCCAAGACTGGGATTATAAATGAAATTATACAACACTAAGAAAAAGTTGCAAATAAGGTCTTGCAAGTGGAGTCAGCAATTTGTATTTAAGCACAGGACAGAAGGCAAAACACTGGGGAAGGGCAAATGGAGTTCCAGTTTTTGAATTCCCAACAATATTTTAAAATCATCTATTATTGAGGTTATTATTTATTTATTTGTTATACTTTACATACACTATACATAATGAATGGATTTTAAGTGTACAATTTGACAAGTTTGGGCAAATGAATACATCTGTGTTATCATCACCCAAATCAAGATATGGAACACTACTATCAACCTTAAAGCTCACTCCTACTTCTTCCCAGTTACTTTCCTGAACCCTCAGGCAACCACTCTGGATTTCTGTCATCAAAGGTAAGTTTCCCCTGCTACTTCACATTTACCAATTATATAGTTTGTACTCTTTTGTCAGGCATCTACCAGTTCAGAAAACTTACGGTCGTAAAACTTAAGATGGGGTTGAGAGACCACACAACTCCAGAATTAAACAAGTTTAGCAGAACTTATGGACAGAAGCAGACTCTGTGGGACAGCAAGACTAAATTTTCTTGCGGAAAGGTGAGGGAGGTGTGATATATTCGGCCAAGAGGCACCTGCTAACGCAGGTGGCTTGTGGCCATGAGCTATAGGCTTGTTACGAGTTGTATAATTCAAAGCAGTAAACAACTTAATGGGCCCACTTAACTAACCAAGAACATTCCTTTCAAGTGACTCTGAACCACCCCTCCTTGGGTGAACTGGTGGTCAGCTTGCTTCCTAAGACTCTCTTGGTCATGTAAACTACCAGGAATCATGACCAGGTTGTTACTGGTGATGGGGGTTGAGAGGTGAGGCGTAGAATACTTAAGAAATCTCTTTTGTGCATTCAGGCTAATTCCATTCTGTAAAACTACAGGAGTTTTAATATGGAGCATATGTGCTGGGAGCTTACTACAAACCACTTTGCCATAACTGGGTGTTATAAGGTGGTAGATTTCTGAGTATATGTAACAAAAGTGGAAAGGAGTGGGTGCTCCCTCATTTGAGGAGTCCAAGGAAAGATTATCCATGACTCCAAACCTATCTGCACCTTAGGGTCTAACTTAATTGGCCCAGGATAGAGCTTAGGCATCAGGATTTTTTTCAAAGCTCCCTGTTATTTATAATGGGCAGTCAGGTTTGAGAAATACTAGGCTAAATGACTGCTTGTCTAAATGTAAATTAAATGAGAAATTAAAACTGAAAGAAAGGTAAATGGTAATTAATACCGACTACATATTATATGCCAGGCATTGTGCTAGGCATTTTTGAACTCTAACATTTATTAACGATATTTTTATTTGGAATCTTTTAGCACAGTGCCTGGCACATAGTAAGCTCCCATATGTTTGTTACTGTTAACCTCTCTACAACCTTATAATACATTCTCCAAATACAACATGGGAGAATATTAGCTTATAATACAGGTATCACCATCCTTGCATTATGGACAAGGAAACTGAGGCTCAGAGAAGGTATTTATTTTGGCTAATGTACTTGGAGGAAGATTCTAAAACTGTGATTTGATCCCAGCATAAAGCTAGTGTGTCTTCCCTCTCTCTTCAGGACACTAGTAAGACATCTGAGTATTTATAAAAGTTAACAGCTTAAATGACACTCTTCATTTTTAATAGAATCATTTCTTCCTGGCCTTTTCTTAAAGAAACTACATTCAATGCAAATCCTGAGAAAGTGAAGCCAAAAAAGTTTGGTTCAGTTTTCCTAATGCGGTCTGGTGGAAATTTTTCTGTGGGTCTAGAGAACCTCTGAGGTCAAAGGCAATGGATCACAGTGGCCCTCTAGAACTGAAACAAAGCATTTTAATCAAACATGGAGAAAATACTGCTTACAAGTGAATTGCCTTCCATACTAATGAATGGATAAAGATTATATTTGTTATTTCTATACCATCTACCACTTCAATTATATATTAACAGGGAGAAAGAAGTTGGCCCTGAGGGGATGGTCCTGATCATCTGACCACTCCTCTTAACCACATAATCCTGTTTTCTTGTGCACGTGACTGGTTTGAGTATGTGATTTGCTATGGAAAGCATTTAAGGAATTATATCCTCTCAATAAGATACTGAGTTCAAGGACCAGGACAATCTTTACTATCCCATAGAGTGCTTAATATAGTATACAAAATAATAATTGCTGCAAGGTTACACCAATTACTACATTAATTTTCAAAAATTAACGCTTCTTCAAGCGGTGAGCACTGAATTGACTTGATGCAATACTAGATTCAGATTTTTTTCCTATTGCTGGCTAATTGCTGAAACTTGTAGCCCATGTAATATATACAAAGTGGTATATTTAATGACTAAAATTACTTTATTTTCTGAATTTCATGTACACCTGTAAGCCAAAAAGTACAGAACATTTTACTCTAGAAAAATATGAAGCTATGGGTCCTGTTGCTGGAGACTTATTAACCATCAGTGCCAATTTGGCACTGAGATCTAGCTTATATCCAGAAAAATAGTTTTACACAGTATGTCTTACAAAGTACTGAATAGTAAGTATATCTTAGGTAGTTGAAAACAAGTTGATTAAAAGCATTTCATTTTACCCTTTTTACCCACTGGCCTTTAGCTATACTTTACACATCTTGAATTTAAGCTAGATAACTCTTGTCCTAAAGTCACAAAAAATATCATAGGGAGAATGTAATGTTTAATTTTTAGATATTTTTAGATGCTTTGAGATATTCATCAAGAAGTCTAGACCCATGCTGTCCAATGTAATTTAAAATTTACCAGTAGCCACATTTAAAAAATGGGTATGAGAAACTAATTAGTAATGCATATTTAACCCAATATATCAAAAAATATTAAATATGCAATCAGCATAAAAAATTAAGATATTTTAAATTCTTTTTCTATACCAAGTCTTTAAAATCCAGTGTGTCCTTTATACTTAGAGCAGATCTCAATTTGAACTACCCACATTTCAAGTGCTCAATAGCCAAGGATGGCTAGTGGCTACTATACTGGACAGCACATGTTTAGAGTCCAACAGCCTTCAATCTCCGGTTTAAGTCACCTTAAGATGTACAAAAACGAAGCACATAAAGAGTTGATCCGAAGTTAACAATCTGTTAAGATGGCAAGTGAAAGGTTAATTGTTACAGCATCTGGACTTTTTCTAACTACTTAAACAAGAAACTTGCTTTTATTTAATAAAGGCTTTGCAAAAGTTTTTACATAATTTTACTAATGCTTTGAAAGCCATTTTCTTCATTACCTCATCAAAAGTCTTCCTGGGCACTAAGTTATTTTCTTTCTCCATTTGAGTTGTTCATTTCGTTGTTCACTATTTATCTCATAATAGCTATGTGAAAAAAAAACATTAAGCTAGATGAAGTGAAGGAGGCAAAAACACCCTCCACCCTCTCTGCTTTCACAAAACTTTCAATCTAGAAAGGGATAGTGAAAAACATGTGAATATGTCTTTGTGTTCTTTTACTGCATTACTGTGTCAATTACTTGTTTGCTTATCATACCCTCCCCCAATCCCTGCCTCCACAAACCTTCCAACTAGAAAGGGACAGTAAAAAAACATGTGGATAAATCTTTCTATTTTATTTTACTGTATCACTATGCGTTAATTATTTGTTTGCCTATCAGTCTTTCTCCAGTTCTTTAACAATAAATGGAATGCACTTTATCTTCTTCTACTTGTTATCTTCCTGGGGCCTGACAGAATGCCTTAGTAAATATTCATGGAATTCAATATAATGAATTACTGTGTTATTTTCTAGAACAGAAAATCCTCCAAAGTACACCAAGTACATTAAAAAAAATAAAAATAAAAAACTCCATCTTCCCTAAAGGGAAGAGAAAAACTATAAAGCAGAAGCATTATTTATGACAGGTCTTAAAAGATTTGACAGAAATAGAAGGTTGTGAGGTTTGAAGAACAAAACAAGTTTTTACAGCTGAAAAATTACGGGATAGAAGAGTATATCACTGAAGGTAAGAATTCTCTGAATGTGTGCTTATTAAATGCACAAGTGACTAAAAAGCCTGAATGACATGAGACTATTATCTAAACAGAAAGTGAAGGGGGGTGGGGAGTGCTGCACAAACTGTAAGGGAAAAAAGTAGACATAGTGAGTAAGCAGTTCCAATCGTGGACATTTTAAAGCAAACAAAAGCAACATCACTTCCTACCTTGCAAGATAAGGTAGTGTGCCCTATTTTATTCTGCTTTTGAGAAAATGCCATTGTATCCATTTAAGAACTTTATTAAACTCCATAGTCTGTTACCTTGAATAATTTCAAGCATGTTTGTTAGCAGGGTGAAAAATAAGACCTTTCACAGAAAAACATGGTTTTATTTTACCATCATGCATACATAGAAAGATAAATATGCCAGTGGTACACTTCCAAATTGACAAGAGCAATCTCCCAAGTATTTAAGCTATTTAGGAAAAGAGACAACAATTACTAAGTTGTTACCAGGGCAATTATCAAGACAAGCCACTATTTTTTGCAGGTTATTTTAACATGAAGATAACAATTTCCAAAGTCTTGAGAATCTGACATGTTCAAGTTATTTCTATTTCTAAAAATGCTGTTTTCACAGAAAAAAGTTGAAAACCATTATGAGTATTGATTTAAGTCTCTATGTCGTACTGGAAAGTAAGACTGTTATTTTACTAAATGGTGCAAAATGAAAGAAAAGAAAGCCTATACAGCTTAATTTTCCCAGTAAGCAGAAACACAGAAAATAACAGGATTTTACTAAATACTAGTTAGATGAAGGCCACAATATTTATCTTCTACATAAATTAAATCAAATGAAAACAAGAGAGAAAGCATCTAAAGTTGTTTTTTTCTTTAAAGAACTCTTCCCTAGGCAACAATTTAACACTCCATTCTCCTTCAATTCTACCATGGAAAAAGTATTCTAAGAAAAAGTATTTCTCCTCTCATCACCACTAACATAGGGGGAAAGAAAAAACAACACAAAACTTTTCTTTAACACTCTGTCAGCCAGTCTTAATTTTAGGCCTGATTTTTACCTGGCTTATTTTTGCCTGGTCTTTTGTTCAGTATCCCCTGCCTAGGGCACCCATCACAGTCTCTTTAGTTCTTGTACCCATTATGAACTAGATAACACTTCCAATTCCATCTAGATCTGTCTCCCTTAAATCTAGATCTGTCTCCCTTAAATCTTCCAGGTGTTGGGGGGTGGGGAAGAAAGCAGAGGGAAATAAAGAGTTCTGGCACTCTACTTTACAAGACAAGCTGTCCCTGGAAATCATGGAGAGAGCTAAATTAAACTAAAAGGTCTGCTTTTGCAGATGTTTCTAAGCCATCTTTATTTTTATTTTTATTTTGAGATAAGTGACACACAGAAAGTGTACTGTTATCTTGACAATCATGTACAGGATAAGAAAAGGAGGTACAAACGGGTAGCTATGTTTTGTGTGAATTCACTAGTTGAGGTTGAGAAAGCCTGAACACCATCCTTACTCTTGTCATGAGGACAAGGTCTAACCTGTCACCTCAACCGTTTGCCTGACAGTAGGGTTCCTAGATGATAGGGGTCCAGCAAAGAAGGGGTGAGGATTTGAGATGTCTTTTGGGTAGAGGAATGAACGGGCGGGAAAGGAATCTTTTGCTAGAAGGAAACGGGTGCACCACCAGTTCTGGGGATTCTGGTTTACCAAATATCTGGCTGACAATGATCTGGGAAAGATGTTCATCCAGTAGGCAGCAGCTAAGAGGGGTGGGCACAGCCAGAAGCAGGCAACAATAGGTGGTGAGCAGAGGTGCAAGGGGAGCAATGAAGTCACATAAGTCACAAAGACCAAGTGGCCCACTGCTGCTCTCCCTTGATATATCATTAATGTCCTGCAAATGTCCACAGGCTATATGCCTGCACTGCAGAGCATAAGGGTAGAATGCACTCCTAGAAAAAGCTACAATTCCAAGTGGTAAGAGCCAGACCAGCGGTCCTGGAAACAAACAGGGTCCAAGCAGTGCAGATAAAGGCGGTGCTATTTAGAGCATCATTTACTTGGCTTATTAGTAAATTCATGGTCATGCAGCATGTTACACTAAGGCAGAACAGCATGAAGGTTGTATAGAAGTGGAGAAGCCAGGCTGTGCAGAGTGAGAAGCACGGCCATGAAGGTCTCAGCTTTGAGACTGAGAGAACTAAACGTCCAGAGAAAAAAATGTTGTGGAAATGTCAGGAAAACAAAAAAGTAGAAGGCATACCCATTTCTGTTGCCCAAGCACAGGTCCAGCAAGAGGTCTTAGGGGATTTCTGCAGGGGTAGTCCCAAGGAAAAGTTTAACCAGACTGGAACCCAAAGGGTCTAGGGATCTCCACTGGCTCCCTTATTGGGCGACGTCTGGCTCTACGGGCTCCTTCACGAAGCAGGTAATATTGCAGTGGATTTGGCCACAGATCCTCTTTGATAATCTCGGCAATCCTATCAGACTCTGGAACGCTGTGGTCTGAAAACCAGGTAAAGAAACTGCAGACAACGTCTTGGTTCCTGCGAATGAAGGACTGGGGTTCATAGCCCCTACGCCATATGATTGGAGTGGAAAGAGACACCACTCGGCCAGAGGCTCTGACTTCATACTCCTTGACAATAAGCTTGTTTCTGAAGTAGGGGTTTCTTCGAAAGAAGAACTTGAACTTGCAGCCAGTTCTCGGGTGTCTGAATTCCTTCACTTCCAAATTGGTTATGTATCTTAACATCTCTGCATCTTGGCCCCTAATCATGGGGGACAGCTGGGGATGGTTCCGAAAGGCAGTGACCCAGAAGCCCGGGATATTCTGAATGATGTAGTTCCTCCGCTCCAGGTAGTGTCGACGCATCCGTCCAAACTTATGTTCCAGTTGTTGAAAGGCCCTGTCAGCCTGAGCATTCACAGTGTCCAGTTCCAGCTGGATGGCCTCCAGGGGGTTCATGCGGAGATTCACATTCAGGGGCTGGGGCCCTGCCTCCTCCTTCACCTCCTCTACCATTCCGTTTTCCTCCGCCATTTTTATTTCTTCACCTACTGTCTTCTCTACCTCCATCTCCTGCTCCACTACTTTCTCTTCCTTCACTCCTTCCTTTTCCATCACCTCATTATCCACTGCTACTGAGAAGATGGTGTTCACTTCAGTGTTCACTTCTTCGGCCTCAGCCTCTGCCACCACCTCGGACCCCGACCTCTCTGCGCCACAAGTTTCTAAGGCCTTCTCCGCGCCTGGGCCGCGCAGCTCACCAAGCTGACAGCCATTGTTAAAGCCGCCGTCCGTTGCCATGGACACAGACTCGGCTCCCAGGCCTCTGGAGGGAGGCGGAGCCTCGTCTAGCCCCGCTTCAGCCACTCCGTCACCGCGATCCCCACCGACTCGGATCTGGGGACTATGGGCACAGCCCGCGGGATCGTGGAAGGGTCCGCCGTCCTCTGAAAGCTGGGGCTGTGGGAGTACGACCACCTCCAAGCCTCCCTCACCCGTCTCCGCCATCACCTGTGACGCCTTGGTGTCATCGCGGAGCTTCAGGCTCGGGTGTGGGTCGGGGTCTCCTGGGGCCTGGTCAGGAGTAGTGGAGCTGCAGGCCTGGAGGAGAAGGGTCCTCTCGACCCCATCCAGGCCGCTCATGTTGGTAGCAGCCAGACCAACCGAAGGTTTATTAACGTCTGTTTTCCTCACAGAAGCCGCGCTAGCTGTAAAGGGACCGCTGGCACCACCCACCCGCCGGTCTCGCGAGTGTCTCCGTGAGGGTAACGTCACGGCTGTAGAGCTCACCTCAACGCGAGACTTCTGTGCTACTGGTTTGGCTCTGCCGTCGTCTGGCGTTAGGGCGTGTTTTTACAGTTTTACTTCTATGAATTTTATCCGGTGGAGCAATAATTTGACATATAAATAAATGCAGATTGGACTCAGAGGCCGAAAGAACTGAGGGCCCTACCGAGAGTGCATCTGGAAAGTGCCTCCAGCTTGTAAATTGGGGTAATGGTAGCGGTCACACTGCTAGACTGCATACTTTGTATGAAAACATGTTTTTCTGGTTTTCAGTATTTTTTTTTTTAAGGCAGGAAAGTTAATCTATTCCCTGTTAGTCCATAATGTCCTGAAGCAAAAATCTTTTCTGTATTTTTTAAACTAAGATGAATTGCAAATTGTTTCTCTTTTCACAAGTAGAAATGGCATGAAATAAGCGTAGCCTATAACCTTACTGGGGGCACCAGCTACTCAGTGGCTTTTTTACCACTTAAGTGACGCATAGTATTCCTCGCTAAACCTTAAATTTATAATCTGCATCGAAGAAGAGCTTGTGCTACGTAATGTCTGCAGGTATTAAGCCAGGATCCATTTGCTGAATCTTGCTCAATGGCCCCTCAGGGTAGAAAGTAGAAAATCTATTTCCAGCTCTATAAATTGTTAATTTGTTACAGAATTTAGTTCTGCAAGGAGATAGGAAAGTTTGGCTGTAATGCAGTGTGTATTTGTGACAGTCAGCTCATAGAGTTAATTTATGAGTTATGTCAGTGTCTTGGGCTTTATTTTTAATTGTTCACTTGTGAAGAAAACTGGTGTTAAGAGTTACAAGGCCTCGGAGAGATACCAGTGTGGTGGGGAGAGCAGAGGCTGCCACCATTTTAATGAAGAAAAGCCAGTTAAAATGGATAACCAAAATGGTCGAAGTAGAAAACAAACTTGCAAAATGCCAACATACTTGACTTGAAGTGCAAAAAAGTCAAACCTTTTTTTTCTATTTCCTTTGCCTTTTTTCTCTCTGCTTTGTAGGCTGAATAAAGGCCCTCAGAAATGACCAACTCTGAATCTTCAAAACCCATATGTTTCTTACCTGCTAAAGAGACTTTGCAGATATGATTAGTTTAAGGATCTGGAGATGGGTGATTATCCTGGATTATTTGTATGGGTCCTCTGTAATTATAGGGCTCCTTATGAAAAGGAAACAAGAGTGTCAGTCTGAGAAGAGGTGATGACCAAAGAAGATATGAGAAAGAGAAACAAAAGAGAGAGAGATTTGAAAAGGCTACGCTGCAGGCTTTGAAGGTGGAGGAAGGAACCAGGATTCAGCAGCCTCTAAAAGTTGGAAAAGTAAAGAAACATTCTCCCAAAGAGCCTGCAAAGGAATGCAGTCCTGCTAGCGCCTTGATTATATGATGCTTAACCTCCAACACTGTAGGATAATTAATTTGTGTAAGTTTAAGTTATTAGGTTTGTGGTAATTTGTTACAGAAGCAACAGGAAATGGGTAGTCCTTGGGTAGATAGTTTGTGTTGCATCTCTATGTGCTTCAAGTTTTCCCTAGTAGCAGCCAATTGCTACTTCAGTCTTGCCCGTTGCTTCCTCTGAGGTCCTGCCTAACCACTTGATTTATCATATTTTGAGTTTCTTTTTGGTTATCAAGACCAGAATCTACTTATGCAATTCTCAGAACACAAAATAAATACCAAAACCGTAAAAGACATTTGAGAAAACCATGAACTCCAGGAATACGAGGTCATGTTTTTGTTTACCACTCTTTGCTTTGTGCCTAGCATACTGCCTTGCAGTGTTGCATAGATTATTAGAATGTTAAATAAAAGAACAAATGAGTAGAATACGGTTTCTCCTGACTGTACCTTGGTGCTTGCAGAAGAGGCATAGAGATTTCTTCCCTGTCTGCCACCAGGAAACTGGAGGACTGCCCTACCATGTGCAGGAAGAAAGTCCTAGTCAAAATAAATTTGTACATGTGCATCAAAGACTGAAAGCATTAAAAGAACAGGAAAAACAATTTTGTTTTACAAATAATTTACATTTGTGTGGTCACACAGTATGACAAACTCTGAAAAGATCAACATATTTAGGTGAGTTTACATAGCCAAGCCTCAAACTACCAACACTGTATTCCCAATTCTCTCCTTTCTGAATAAGCTAAAGTAATGATTACAGGCCATAATTTCATTTCTATGTAAAAAATGGATATACATCCTGTGATGCACAGCTGAAATTACTTCTGTATGAAAAAGAATGAATAATGGTATTTTCCACAAGGCCCACTTCTTTCTAATTGCCATGAAATTATCCTCAGCCTTGGAATTGGAATAATTTAGTTTGGCCTGAAGTGGAAACCTTTATTACTCTAATATGCCTTCTATTTTTATGTAGAAGACAGTGCCAGGCTTTGACCCGTCCTTGAACATCCAGCTTTATTTGTCAAAGTCACCATTATGTTGTCCTCATAATATTATCCTCTTATTTTCTCTGCTTCTGCTTACTGGGAAAATTAGTGCTCTAACTGATGTTAGGAAAAACTCCAATGAAAGATGGTACATGTAAATGTTATCAGGACTCTGGTAAGTATAATTTCCCTGGATAGTGTTGAGACACTTTGGAGGAATCCTCCCTTCTCTTATTGTGTTTCTATTATTGGAAAAGTGGTGATAGGTAATATTTGCTTGACTTTATATAGAAAATGAAGAAATTGTATTTTTTTAATAATTTTAATTATCTGAAAATCACAGCAGAGAAATGATTATAACTCTTTGTTATAGATAATGGTGAGCCTAGGTTATGATCACTTTTAAATAAGGGAAAAACCAGTGAGAAGCAAGGATTTAGAGGGGAAAGCAGATATGTATATTCTATGCCATTTCTGTGTTTAAAGAAAAAAGTTTTGCTTATAAGAAGGAACTCTGTAGGATTTTAACCTGCATCAAGTCTCATGTGCTCAAGGATTTATTTTAGCACACAGGAGGATAAATACGATTATTTGCCACACAAAATTGTTCTAATAGTAAGGTCATTATTTGTGGAAGTTTTTCCTTACCTTTTTAAACTTGAAATCTTAAAAGGAATATGTGTGTCTTTTATATGACATGGGTTATCCTGCTATCTGAAACATTCTTTAAGCAGATACCATTCTCTAAGACTCCACCACAAACCTATCTTGCTTTAGAATGTGCTTGGCATTTTACACGCATTAAATTTTCAAATTGTGTAAAGGACAAAACAGTAACGCTGAGAGTTTAAATAACTTAACCAGGTCATACATATAATAGCTACTACATTCCCCCTCTCTTCTCCTGCACAACTTTTCTTAACCATCCTACAATTTATTGATCTTCCTTTGACTTCCTGCAACTCTTATGAGTTGTACCATGCAATTTAATACTCTTCCTCTTAGTGACTCTAGTGTTTCACATACGGTGTCATCATTCCAGCATCCCAGGATCTTCCCATGAAATAGGAGGACAGTGCTTTTTCTTTTATGCTTACTCTGCATCGCCTGGAACTGAGATTTTGGTAGATCCTTAATGATATTTGTTGATTTGAATAAAATAAACCTTAAATGACCTTATAAAAACCACTAATGTGTCTGAACTGGCAACACATTTTATTTGATGGAGGAATGTATTTTGTTACACTTCATATATTACCTTTTTGTACTTTGGACTGTGGGGACATATTTGTATAATACAGAACATTTCTGTGGCAATTGGCAATAAACATCATTACCAGAAAATAGTCTCATCATTTCTAATATGGGTTTGTGATAAAACATTCACAAAATTGTGGAGTTATTTTCCACCATAAATCATAAATTTACTGAGAATAATTTCTCAGGTAGTAAGGAGTTTAGCAGAAGTTCAGGTATTTTGGCAGAAATATATATATATATATATATATATATATATATATATATATAAAAAACAGTTATAACCAATGTTAGCTTTCATATATTTACTGCTTCTGACATACCAGCCACTGTTGTAAACACCATCTCATGTATTGTACCAATTAGTTCTAAAAGCTCTGTGAGGTAATACTCTTGTCATCTTTATTTTACTCACTAGGGAAATGAGACAAAGAAAGACCAAGTCATTAACTCAAAATGACATAAAGAATGGTAGAACCATGATTTGAGTCCAGGTAGTTTTACTTAAGAGTTCATGCTCTTCACATGTACAAAATGCGAAGTCACTTTCTCAAAACAAGAGAATAAAACTATCTCTTAATGGTAAATTGATACACAATTTTTTTGCCTCCTCCCCTGTTCCCCTATCCACAAACATATTAATATTTGTTAGGAATATTCCCCCAAGGATTTGCTTTCTGTTTACAGGAAAAACATTTATTCATGATTCCTAAATTCAGTATTTTCTAAACCCTTTCAGACCAAATGTCGCCCTTTTATAACATATTTTCTAAAACAGTCTTTCATGAAATGAAATTCAAAGATAATATAGCCTACCTATGCATATAAATAGAAAAATCAATATAATGACTTGGCTCTGATATAAAAAAGAAAAACAATTTATAATAGTATCTTTTAATATGTAAAGGTAGTAACATGCCTATACTATAAATGACAAAGTATTTAGAAAGTTATACTTTTTGGTATAATCATCATGGATGGAGACCTACAGGTCACTTTTACTTGTGGTTCAAATACCATGACTAGCATTAATTACTCCTGATGATGAGATTTTCTGAATTAGTGACCAAATTTCAGTCAAGTTTTAGAAAAGAACAAGAAAAAGTTTCCCTTGATTGCCTTAGCCCTGTATTTGTTCCCTTGTAAGAAATACATTTTCACATTTCTGAAATTAGCCTGTCTTATAAGAGCTGTCAGCCAAGTGTCAGTCCTGACATGGTTGTTATTGTCATTGCCTAAGCATGTGCAAACTTAGTTATTGTTACTGATTTCATTTCTGGACTGACTATCTGAAAGGAGGATATAAA